TGGGCGACAACCTCGTTTCCTGGTCTTCCAAACGCCAGGCCACCACCTCTCGTTCTAGTGCCGAGGCAAAATATCGGGCCGTTGCCAATGCAGTTGCAGAGACCTGCTGGATCCGGAATCTACTTCTTGAGCTGCAACACCCACTTCGTCGCGCCTCACTCGTCTTCTGTGACAACGTTAGTGCTGTCTACCTATCATCAAATCCGGTGCAACATCAACGCACCAAGCACGTCGAGGTTGATATACACTTTGTACGCGATAAAGTGGCGCTTGGGCAGATCAAAGTCCTTCATGTTCCTTCATTCTCTCAGTTCGCCGACATCTTCACAAAAGGACTGCCCTCTCTTTTATTTCTGGACTTCAGAGAAAGCCTGGGTATCCGACCCCCAGCACATCCGACGTAGCCGGGAGCATGTTAAATATATTAAATATATTAAATATTATTGTATTATGATTTGTTTCCATACTTGTATAGCTTTCCTAGAATACCTCTCCTACCATAACTAGGATTGAGATATTGTATATATATACATGTACTCCTCACATAATTAAATTCAAGGAAAATACAATTCTTCAATGTCACCCCAATTAATTACTAGACACTTAATCTATAATAACTAGGAATGACCTTCAAATGTTGTGCTCGACTTACAACAATACCAAACTCCTCACTCATGTCCAAGTTTTCAGGCAGTGCCGCGTTTGGGAGCTCCCAATCAAAGCAATGCACAAGCTGTGCCAGCACCAAACGGACAATGGTTATTCCAAGTTGCAAACCTGGACAGCTCCTTCTCCCCGAACCGAACGGGATCAGTTCGAAATTCCGACCTCGGAAGTCAACATTCCTCCCGTCGAATCTCTCGGGGTCAAACCTCTCTAGCTCGGGCCACGTGCTAGGGTCCCGGCCGATAGCCCAGACGTTGACCGTAAGCGTGGCGTTTTTTGGCACGTGAAAGTTGTCGATGGTACAATCTTCCATGGCTGAGTGGTGGAGTAGTGGTGAGACAGGGTGCAGCCTTAGGGAATCTTTTATGACCATTTCTAAGTATTTCAAGTGCTCCAAATCATTTTCCTCCACCATCTTGTCAAGCCCTACTTGTGCTTCCAACTCTTTCTTCACTTTCTCCATTGTTGTTGGGTTCTTTAGGAGTTCAGACATTGCCCATTCTACCACTGTTGATGATGTGTCCATTGAAGCCACAAGCAAATCCTACAGGGTCCAACATTTTGTTATTATTACATCTTTATCGGACGGAATAAGTATATTATTATAATATTATTCGGCATGGAATTCATTACAAGATTCTTACTTTAATTTGTTTTGTCCCAAGATTGATTACAATATTCCCATTTCGTGAAATGTGCACACCATAAAGACTAAGACACTTATTTAATAAATTGTTAAATTTCATCTAGTTTGACTTAAATAGTAACTGTATAAATATTCTTTGGGACATAGAGGGAGTATATAGGAAGCTATTACTCCCTCCGTCCCAAAAAAGTTCTATTTACATTTAAGATGTTTGACTCAACATTTTTCAATTATGGTGATGACATAATTTTTTTTATTTTATCAAAGTATAGAAAAATAAAAATGATGAAATTTGATCACATGAATTTAGAAGTATGTTGAAAGAGTTTTTTAGTCGAGGAACAAAGTATGAAATAATTAAGTGAGTCAAAGAACAAATCCCTACAAACATCATGCGTTTGACATGCTCACGTGTGAACTCAAAAGAGGTTTCCTTGTTCTTCATAATTCCAAGAAGTATATCAACAAAGTCCTTTGAAGCATAATCATAACAACCCTCATCTACTTGTTCTTCATGCTCATCAATGATCCTCTCAAAGAACTGGTCAAACAATTTGGCTACCGCTTTTGCCCTCCGGTTCAACCCTTGAATGTCAAGCTTCCCTACCAAAGGGACATAGTCCCCTAGATTAGGGACACCCGCCAAATGAGCCGACTCGGCTATCACAGCCTTGAACCCTTTCTCATCCCCGATATCCGAATCCTCGTACTTCTTCCCAAACAACATCCGACAACTCATGTCCACCGTCATCGACGCCACCTTGGCACTCAAGTCCACGGTTTCTCTGTTGAGTGCCGGCTGCTTGAATGACTCTATGAGGAGACAGAGCTCCTGTCTCCTCATGGATCTGAAGGAACTGATCTTCAAGCTGTTCAGTAGCTCTTGAGTGATCAGTTTCCTCATTTCGCGCCAGTACAGGCTGTACTGGCCGAACACGACGTCTTTCTGGTCGTACGTCAGACACTTGATTAGCTCCTGGGGCGGTCTCGACGCGAATTTGTGGTCGTGGGTTTTGAGGAACTGCTCGGCGGTGCGTGGGGATGAGGCGACGATGTTGTGGACCGAGCTGAGGCGGAGGTGCATGATGGGGCCATGGATTTGGGACAGCTTTTGCAAGTCTTGGTGAGGGTTTTTGCCTAGTAGATGGAGGTGCCCTAATATTGGAAGCCCTTTGGGACCTGGTGGCAACCTGCTTTTTCTTATCCCTATGTATTCTTTAAAAATGAGTATAGATATTACCACAACAGCAAAGGCTGTCAAAATCAATGTACTCACCATGTTTGTTTTTTTTTCTTTCTTTGGAGGTGCAAATTTAAGGTACTGCTGAATATATGGAAGTATTTATATATGCTAGCTATCTACTCCCTCCGTCTCATAAAGATAGAGACAATTTGACTAAAGTGGTAAAATAAGCAGGGATAATTTCGTGTTGACTTTCCAAAAATATCATTGATGTCATATGTAAAACTATGATTTGATGTGTAGACTATTAAAAAAATGTATGATGTGATAGGTGGGGTATGAAAAAGTGAAGGGTGAAAGTGGTTTTTTAATATAAATGGGTATCTATTTTTTTTCTCCTTTTTTAGTCAAAATTATAAACTTTGTTTGAAAAGATGGATCTTCCGTAGAGTACTCCATAAAAGCTAAAATGTCAAAATTAATCCATAAAAGCTAAAAAGAGATATCATAAACTTTTCTTTATAAAAAACGTGAAAGAATAGATATATTAATCCCTCAATCCTAAAATTTTCTGGTTTGACTCTACCAACTAAAGTTATTTTTTATTTAATTTATTTAATTATATTATTTATTTGAAAATTTTGGAATACTATTCATGTTAATTATTTTTTGCTTGCTGCGTCACTCGATTTAAGGGTCTTTATGGTGGAGGATATACATAACCTCCATACTTTTTTTACTGCATCATCTCTCACATCCACATCAACACCACATCTAATTTTAGTAATCTCATATTTTTCATACAACTAGTATTTTGACTTGTGCAATGCACAAGTGGAATGAAATCAATGAATATTTTTTTACTTCCTTATACTTTGTAATTGTTTGTTTTTAATGATTAAAAATTTTTAGGAAAACTTATTGCGATCACCAGAATTTAACGAATGATATACCATAAGTGTTTGCTAATGGAAATTCTTCCATACAAATATGGAAATGAACTTGTAAATGCATAATTTAAATCTAAATTATTTGAAAAACTTTGGGGCATACCACATTTTTGGTAAAGTTGCAAGGGTTATCGTTGTCATGTAAAACTATTATATTCAGTCTTGTTTTACTTTTACTTGCAAAAAAAATATAAAACTGACGTGAGCGAATCCAACAAATGATAATGTTTGGCCCTGACTTGTTGATAGTCATATTGAAACACAAATTATTGGACATTTTTTTCTTTAAAACTTCAAGGGCAATCCGGGATCACATAGGGGTGTACACCGGTCCTGAACCGGAATGGATTGGACCGGAATCAGAAAAACCAGAAAACTAGAATCGCTGAAAGTATAGGACCGGAAACCAGACCTACTAGATTCTGGTCCGGACGAGTCCAGACCTGTTTTTTCCGGTCTAGTCCAGGTAAAAACCGGAAAACTCGAAAGTTTTTTATTATCTTTTTGTCAAATTTTTAAAACTTGTTTATTAACAACGTAAGTAGCTTGAGTTGAATTGATTTCAACTCTACTCTTAATTTTTATATCCATTGGACATGTTCCAAAAAAATATATTAATGTACTTAATCAACAATATGATAAGTTTAAAATAACTTTTTTTTACATCCGTTAGTTTGTGGGATTTCAAAAATATTATAAAGTTGTACTTTAAATTATTTCATTGTTTGCAATAATAAGGTAAATTTCAAACGATCTAATAACCTAAATTGAAACGCTATACTTTTTTCTTGATTTTTTTTTAGTTTTTTATAACTATGGACATTTTTTTTCTAAAGGTCAATGATTGTAAGTAAAATTTGCACTAAATAGGACTAAAACATAATGATTTTTCAATGTAGGACTTAAACTTTTTTTTCCCTAAATAGAACTTAATAATGACCTAGTGGGAAGAATAATGTTCAGTAATGATGGACATTTACTTGAATAATGACTACTTGTTAATGACCAAAAGTCCTACATTGAGAAATAAAAACATATGGTCCTATATTGGGAAAGTCATTATGTTTTAGTCCTATTTAGGTAAATTTCTCATTATTGTAATTATAAAAAGTAATGAAAATCAATAAAAAAAAATTATATATTGCATTTAAAAGATTATACTCTCTATTAAAGTAAGAAAAAGTTATATTTATAATTAATCACATACTTCGTATAATAAATTAAATAAATTATTGAAATACCAATATATTGAAATAATCACATACTTAATATTGAAATATAAATAAATTAAATGTAAAATAAATGTAGTTTAACTTTAAAAGGACTAATTTTGGAAATTAAATGAGGAAGCACAATAGAGTAGGTGAGAGTTGACGATGGAACACCTCCGTCAATGTCATGTGTGGTAGGTGGTACTACTCCCTCCTTCCGTATTTAAATTATTTATATAAAAATGATATATATAAATTATTTAAAGTTATTTTTAAATTATTTATATAAAAATGATTTATAATGAAAAAAATAACATATTTAAAAATCACATTAAAAAATTTACACAGCTAGATGTGACATTACTATATTATTTTACCAAATGACTAACTAAAATAGAGAAACAAAGTGAATGAAGTTTGAATCTGTAAATAATAAACATGCAATTTAATTTAGGACAAAGGAAGTAGCATATATATATATATATATATATATATATATATATATATATATATATATATATATATATATATATATATATATATATAAAGCACATTTTGATGTAATCCTGACTCTGAGATCTCACAATCTAAATCACCAGATTCATTCTTATTTCTTTCATAAGATCGCATTTTCACCAGAACCAAAATCTATATATATACGTCTCATATCATACATTTTTACTTCTATCGATCACTTCCTACTTTTACCCTTCACATCAAGGGTATTTTTGAAAAATAAACACAAAAATATCCCCCTTAAATTTTTAAAAAGTCAATAAGGGAAGAAAGAAGAGAGGAAGGGAGTATTTCTTAGCTATAGTTAGGTTGCATTATTATATAAGTAAGTTACGTGGAACATACATACAATCATAGAAGAGCCCAAAACCCAATCAAAATATTAAAAAGGTAGAAGAGAGAGATGGCGATGTGCACATTAACAACATGGGTTTGGACAGCAGCATCAGCATTTGTAGTAGTAGTTGTTTTTGCAGCAGCAGCCATGCTCTAGGTTGCACCGGGACGGGTGCGGGTACATATACGGGGACGGGGACGGATTTGGGAATCGGCATTTTTAAAAATTTAAGGATGCGGGGACGGCAAGGATTCGTCAACAAAATATAATTAAAAAATTAAATATAGGCATGTAAATGTTAAAAATAATATTCTATGGAGTACTTAATTAACATAAAACAATCCAATGATGTATTAGCATAAAAAGAATAATGGAATACTTGTAACATCATAACAATCATGTTTGGAAAAATAAATAAATAACTAATAAACATAGTTTTTGAAATCCTCAAATAAAAACATCACTACTTGTCAACACCCTCTGAGATCAACACATTTTCCAACTCTGGTTCATCAAGGGAGAGTTCTGCAAACTCCAAAAATCCGGTATCTTCAAAAGAGTCAAATCTGTCACCACCTACATCCCACATCTTTGTCCTTTCTTCTTCATATTGACCAGAACTTCTAGATAAAAGACGTAGATTGTTATGAACAAAAACCAAATCTTCAGCACGACTTGGA